CTGTAATTAACTAGAAATCTTGTNAGAAATAGTAAACATTACAACAATTGTTTGCTTGAGAATCCATACATAGTTCATCAACGGCTTATTCAAGGGAGCAACTTCTCTGTAATTAACTAGAAATCTTGCTGTCACTACAATTAATCAAATAGCTATTACAAATACGCCAAAACTTTGTTTCCCATAGGTAAAAAATGGTCCAATTGACCAAATTTAGATATACGACATAGATTAAGACATGCCCAAAATATGACACTCTAGGAAAAATGTTATTTACTCTTAAAGATATATTCTCGTAATCCGAGGAACTAGGTAACTATCCCTCTCACATTCCCGGCTGCAAGTTCCATGGAATATAACAACTTTGGAAAGAAATTACGTCCACCGTGCACAAGGCTCCTGCATATAACGGGGTTTGAGAGAAGTAAATAGTAAACAATTTCACCTTCNTCTCACATTCCCGGCTGCAAGTTCCATGGAATATAACAACTTTGGAAAGAAATTACGTCCACCATGCACAAGGCTCCTGCATATAGCGGGGTTTGAGAGAAGTAAATAGTAAACAATTTCACCTTTATTTTAAAAAGATTGATTCTCAAATTCAAACTCATGATGTGTTACTTGGGCGTATGAGCACTTGCCATAGCATTTTACAAAAAGCAGGTGGACACCAATGAAGAAAAGCATAGCTTGACATAAGCTCTAAGAGGAATTTTGACAAACAACTTGCTTACATGTTCCCCCTCAAGTCTCCCATCCTTCAATTGAAAAGTTTCAAATATTTAGTCATCTTACATGAAAATTCACAACTAATTTAATGACGAAATTAAATTAATGTCTCTAATTAGGTCCTTAATTAAGCATTACTTTAATTCAAAAGAGAATTTGGTCATATGTTTAGAATTCATTTGTTACGAAAAGTGATATTTATTTAAAATAGACTTTTCAGTATCGTATCTATATTTTTTGACCAATAAACACGTGTTAGGTGTGTATTTTTTCCTTTATTATTTTATTATTTTTTTCAATCAATAATTATAAATTATTCAATTCAAAATCAACAATTCCCATTGTTTTTGGACGAGCTACCAGAAGCNACCAATAAACACGTGTTAGGTGTGTATTTTTTCCTTTATTATTTTATTATTTTTTTCAATCAATAATTATAAATTATTCAATTCAAAATCAACAATTCCCATTGTTTTTGGACAAGCTACCTGAAGTAACGTAGGCCTTAACCTATTTGTTATAGTTATATTGGATTTCAATGGGTTGTGTTGCTAAAAAAAAATTCTATTGGTTGGGTTTAAAATATTGGTAATAACATTTTCTTGTTCCCTTTAAACTAAACATTTCTGTCAGTTGCAGGCAAATGTCTCAGCACGAAAGTTACTTGCGGTGTTTCACAATTTTTGGGACTTGCAGAACTCCACCCAAAAAACCATAAAACTTGAATTTTCATTAGCTTTCTTAGGATTTCTCACCCAAACATAGAGTTTGTAATACCCAATACGTTTAGGACACGTATCCTCACTACAGTAAGACAAATGATAAGCCTAAAGGGGGTCACCCCCCGACATGGCATAGCGGGGGACCAGCAAGGTCTTGCGGATTGGTACAAGCACCAAGCAATATGGAAAGGCAAGACATATCACGTCACAACGACGGATCCTTATTCAAGAAGGGACAAGAGTGTCACTGCAGAAGTGTAGGGCAACTTCCGCGATGACCCGCCTCCCCTACGGTAGAAATAAGGCACAAAATTGAGATCTCATAGCTAACAGAGTTTAAATCCCTAGCCTATCCTCGAATGGTACCCTCGGATTGGGAGCCGTAGACAGAAATTAGAACCCATTGGATGCTCATCACAGTGAAATTAACTAATGATATATTGTTGTTCGACTGGCTCAAAGGACTATGAGGAGTCCCCACTTGGGGACTGGGTAATATGACCCTCCTCGAGGGAGGTCTGAGCAACGGGGACGGACAAGCATGATTGTTAACTTAGGTCTCGGGTAGGGTCTTAAAGATTTAGTTTGCTCGAGTAAGCCTCCTAATATATGACTCTTTGTCCACTGAATTGTGCTTGACTAGAATCTTTAAGAGCTCCTAAGGTACCAGGAGTTAATGACCCAGATTAACATATGGGACAATGAGACATATGATTTGGTGACTAAATGACCGAAATTATGTGAGTCTCCTTGTTTGGGCATCTCAACAAAAGCCTTGGAAAGGGTTCAAAGAGGAAAGAGGGAACCCTGGGTATGCATGCACTGGGGGCACTAGAGATATGACTCTCCCCCAGTGGCCAATTGCAACCCTTTGCCTCGAGTGTCCCCCCTTAGCTCAAAGGTTGCGCCCTTCCTTGATGATCGAGTCTAGGTGTATTCAAGGAAATGTCACATCTGTCTAATTACTGTTTGAAACACATGTGACACGTGATAAACGATCACCGGTATCACAGTAGTTGAGGCAATTGTTGTAGGCACAACTGTCAGTATAACGTTGACCCTAATACAAAAGTAGGCGCGGATAGCCTCGCTTGTCCAAGTATTGTGCTATAAATACCTTCATCACTTGTCCTTGCAGTACACACAAGAACCTAGTTTGAAGACCATCATTTTGGTTGATGGTTGATGTGAGTGTTCATTATCTCCACATGCCCAATAAACCTTTTGTCCGCCAGTTGTTCTTAGCAATTAATAGGCAACTTTAGTCCTTTCATCTTATCAACTTATCCTTTCGAGTACATCGACATAGATATATATATATATATCAACTTTTTTAAACTCCTTAAAGAAAATAAAAAGAAAGATATACCTGAATGACTCGTGGAATATAATCAAGGTACACTTATTCCCCCTATTTGTTATAAAAACTCGTAAGAGTCAGACACTAGGTAACTACCCTAACCGTCTGAGGCTATAAGTTCAATTGAATGAAAAAAAACTTTGGATAGATATTTCAGGGTATGAGAGACATAAGTATTGATGCGACGTATTACTAGACACTAGGTAACTACCCTAACCGTCCGAGGCTATAAGTTCAATTGAATGAAAAAAAACTTTGGATAGATATTTCAGGGTATGAGAGACATAAGTATTGATGCGACGTATTACTAGAACGGATGAGCACTCGTTATCCTGTCTAATGGATTTGGCAGATTGCATCCAGTTCTTACAACAACGAATGGGCAGAGATCCATCAAGCGTACGGGGTGAAGTATAGTGGTTTAAACCAGTTTGAGTTTCATAAGTAGATTTGAGTGTGCTCATCACAAGGCTATGTAGAAGGTGTCAGGCGATCCACAGGACTAATCTGAGTAGATCGATAACAGTCTTAAACTCGACTCGACGTCTTACTACAGCATAAACTAAGAACGCTTACAACTCCCATAAATCAGGTGCATCAAGAAATTCAAAATTCTCTTGTGAGACTCAAAATTGCGATATCATGTCAACAACTTACAAAACCTTCTCACTCGAACTACCCAACAGATTGATAGCAACATTTTGCTCTTCCATGGTGCTGCCACCCTCAAAGTAGTGATAACTGGGCTAACTGGAACTGCTNCGACCCGACAGATTGATAGCAACATTTTGCTCTTCCATGGTGCTGCCACCCTCAAAGTAGTGATAATTGGGCTAACTGGAACTGCTGGCTCTTCAGAATGAAGAAAAATAAGTCTCATAACTACACTTTCCAGTTAGATATGAGGTAGCTTCCTCCTATGTACCCTCATATCCTATGGCATTTATTCTTTGCGACTTGGAAACCCATTAGGCCATTACTTTACAAAAGGCAAGTTGACAGCAAATGAAGAAAAGTATAACTTGGCATAAACTCTAAGAGGAATTTTGACAAACACCATGCCCACATGTTTCCTCTNGACAGCAAATGAAGAAAAGTATAACTTGGCATAAACTCTAAGAGGAATTTTGACAAACACCATGCCCACATGTTTCCTCTCAGTTTCCATCCTTCACCCGAAAGTTTCAAAAATTTCCTAATTCTTGTTCGATCTCATACCTAATGTTACTGCAAAATGTGGTGATTGCTGTCCAAAATCTTGTCTCCCACTTTCCACAATAGACAATGTGTGAAACCAAAAACTTTTTACTCTGGCTCCTCCAATTTGTTGCTCTATTAGGCCTTCTCGCCTTCATCCTTTGGCTAACCTTGCGCCCCAAAGACCCATCTTACACCATTGTTGACTTCTCTGTCCCAGTCCCTGATAACGGCTCTGGCCAAGACAATCAGAATGGTTCTCTCTCATACACCCTTGAAATTGTAAATCCAAACAGAGACTCCGATATCAATTACAATGATATCTTCTTGCTGTTTTATTATAATCAGGACACTATTGGGGAGAAAACCATCACTCATTTTCATCAAGGAAAAGATAAGACCACCCAAATTATGGATCATGTGAATGCCAATGCAAGAGTATGGAAAGCACTGGTCAATGCAATATCAAATAAAACAGGAGATTTGAAGGTTGGTTTGATGACCAAAATTAGATATCGAACATGGGGTATTAAGAGTAAGCACCATGGGATGAACTTGCAAGGTCGTGTACCGATTGGATCGGATGGGAAGATTTCAGGTAAGAAGAAGAAGATAAAATTACGCAATGCTTCTAAGAAATGGAGAGTGAGGCTTACTTAACCTTTGGGATGCACAGCTTTAAAGTAGTACCATGGCTATAATGTATGTGTATGCATTTTTTTATGTTTATATTTCTGCTAGAATCAATGTCTATAAAAACATCAGATACCAGTTTGTGATTATGAATCATGCCGATAATTAACAACTACTATCCTGATTTCATATCCCTATGGTATCTCCATCAAAACATCGCAGAGCAAATAAATTTGTAAAAACTTCGGTTAATATGGGACTTGACACAAGGAAGATACCATAAGAAAGCTCACCTAACCAAAATGAAAGGCCAAATGTCAATGACCACCTCTTAATAGATTGATACCAACAACCACACTAATAGACCATATCCTGAGGGGTCTCATAAATATTGCAGGCAAACACTTCTATAGAACAGAGACTACATGAAGATTGGCAAACAAAATGCTGATAAGTTGATATGCATTCCCTAGGTGCATCAAACAATAAGAGGAAATATCTGGCCCAGTAACTGAATAAGCATGTTACACTGCTTAATGGTCTACAGATGCATAAACTTTAATTCAATCAACTTCTTGCCTTCTTCAGTGCAGTGGGACCCAACCTAGAACCTCAGAATACCAGAATAAACAAATTGTACAGCTGACTTTATCTTTCTAAAATACAAAGGAGTTTCTTATTTCAATGCCCTGCGGTGAGTAGCAACTTGTCTTCGCCATTCCCGAATTGGAACCTATTAAAAATACGACAAAAATGTTTGCGTGAAGTAATCCGATATTAGACCAAAGGGGTCAGACAACTAAAACTTCTGGCTAACGGGTTTATTAATCCGTATAACACAACATCAAGTGAAAATTGAAGAACATAACAACATCCTTACAGCAGGAAAGCCACCATAATCCCCAGGTTCACTGATGTCCTTCGTGACACTACTGTTAGCTGCTAGTCGGACCTGCAGCTCCCAAAAGCCGAAAACTATGTTGATCATGAACACTAAAATTTTATAAGTAAAAATAAAAAAAAATTAACGCAGGGTCTACAATGGAGCTATCCATATTTAATTTTAAGTCCTTGTTCATTCTCAACAAAGGGATAAGCCAGCATGCAGGCACATTAAGAGTTGGCTGGCATAAAAAAGGTGAATGACTTATGGCTCGGTACATCCTCTTAGTGAATGAAATTAACAATTTGTGGGTTTCTGCTTCAGGCTGCTGAGTCCCAAAAACTAACCTAAATGCTTCAAAACCATGCTGTCAAGATGTTCCAGCCAAACACTAACGCAAATAATGTGACTCAACAGGCATATTACCTCATTGTACTTCCTCCAATTTAGAAGAGACCCGAAAGAACACATAGTGTGCAAAACGCATGAAGAGTCTTCCACATTAAAACATGACTCATAATTTTTAAAGGTTTATGCCTACTACCCTAAGGAACTATTTTTCAGTTTAAATTGATCATTATTATTTGAGTCTGTGCTTATCGCTCGAAAATGAACTACTCAGGCTGGGGCACATTTTTAGTTTGGCCTGACAGCTAGAAGTTGAGAATCAAACTATGTATAAAAACTAAACTTGACACAATGATGCCTTATTTTAGTCATGGGGCAATCCAAACTATCCCTGTACTGGTTGCACTATTCCAATAACTAGTTCCAAGATATTAGGTTCAGGCATCCATAAGAAAATCCAAAATCACTTATAAGATAATCTTTAGATCTATATGCATATTGGAATAAAGTCACAAGGTGCATGACATATTCAAGCAATTAAGTATGTACCTTTGATACAATGGAGACATGATCACGAACTGCCACTCTTCCGCCTAAAGTCACATAGTCACCTATCCTAAAATAAGTATGTTCCATGTTCCATATACATGGAAAGCTAATCAAATTCTACACCTGAAAGTTACTGAGATGAATGGTAAATTTCATGGTGATAACAGATGTGAAAAGAACATACGTCACTGAACCTGCAATCCCAACTTGTCCACAGAGCATACAACTCTTCCCAATCACTACATTGTGACCTATCTGCAAAGTAGGATATTGGCAGTTATAAATCAAGGAATGAGTTAACCAACAATGCACGAAAGTCAGAACACACCTGAACTAGATTATCTATTTTCGTATAATCCCCAACTACAGTATCTCTCCAACTGCATAACCAAATATTCAGTATAACTAAAATTTGAGCTTAGGAGAGCCAGAAAGTGCATGATGATTCAGAGGATACACAAAAACCATAAAGTTCTCGTAGGCAACAACACAGATCTCACCTGCCCCTGTCCATGCATGTATTTGCACCTATCTCCACATGATTCCCTACCCTTGCTTTCAAGATCTGGAAATTGTTTGTTGGGGATGGGGAGGAAGGAGTAAAAGTACAAAAAAATAAAATGATACTTCAACTGAAACATCAAACTGAACTGGATATTTGATGCAGCTAAAGGAGAAAAGAAAGAGAAGTAGAATNTAACCAAATATTCAGTATAACTAAAATTTGAGCTTAGGAGAGCCAGAAAGTGCATGATGATTCAGAGGATACACAAAAACCATAAAGTTCTCGTAGGCAACAACACAGATCTCACCTGCCCCTGTCCATGCATGTATTTGCACCTATCTCCACATGATTCCCTACCCTTGCTTTCAAGATCTGGAAATTGTTTGTTGGGGATGGGGAGGAAGGAGTAAAAGTACAAAAAAATAAAATGATACTTCAACTGAAACATCAAACTGAACTGGATATTTGATGCAGCTAAAGGAGAAAAGAAAGAGAAGTAGAATTTTCCATACCAAGCAACTTCCTAGTGAACCATTGTTTCATTATATATATATATATATATATATATATATATATAGGTATTTAAATTGGGAAAATCATTACATTTGAAGCTATGGTTTTTGATGTACATGAAATATCAGACCAGACAAATTTTTTGTGCATTTTAGAGAACAGAAGTATTGCAAATTTCAAATACCAGAAAATTTCTGTTTATAGTAGACCGCAAAAAATAAACCCTTCATTTCCAAAAAGGAAGGGCCCAAAGTGTATTAAGGAACAAATTTAAATATCACTAACCTGAGGCTTCTTCACCATGTCTCCACATTCATCCACAAAAAACCCAAATCCTATAACGAAACAACATNGTATTGCAAATTTCAAATACCAGAAAATTTCTGTTTATAGTAGACCGCAAAAAATAAGCCCTTCATTTCCAAAAAGGAAGGGCCCAAAGTGTATTAAGGAGCAAATTTAAATACCACTAACCTGAGGCTTCTTCACCATGTCTCCACATTCATCCACAAAAAACCCAAATCCTATAACGAAACAACAAGAATACCAAATGCAAAAATTAATAATGCAATACTAGTGGCAATTACATTAGCAGTGGCAGCGTGTATCATGTTCATCCACAAACATCTGCAATTGCAATTTAAAACATGTATCATGATAATTCAAAAAATACAACACGTTTACAATGTAGTTTTTTAGTGTCAGTGCAAGATTTGTAACCCAAATGAATGATGTACAACCCCAAAAACTAATACTTAGGCAATGCTTCAGTCATCATGATAAATATTAACCAATATAATTCAGCATTACCATCTTGACCTATGCACACCCCATTGTGGAATACGCATGAATCACCAATTGTGCAATTACTAAGCACAACATTGTACCTGGAAAAAATATAGGCATTCAATTGAGCATTTTAGCACTGGAACCAGTACTATTTAAGAGGTATTTACATAATGCATTTATGTAATTATGTACGCCTTTACAACTTGAAAACATCCCATAAACTGTAGCATGACTAAGCTTGAGATTGCTGACAACAGATAATTGCTAAAATGCATTAGACAAACGCAAAATATATATCTGCAGACGAGTATACCCTATTCTCGTTGATTGACCAATTGTGACAGCAGGTCCAATTATAGCTCCTGATCCAACATGAACATTTGCACCCAGCACAGATTCTGAATGGACTACTGCGCCAAATTCTATGTGAACTGTTGGATCAACGCAAGCTGACTTGTGGAAAGTACCACCTCCATTATTCCATTTCTGAAATTCTTGATGAACGATTCCAGCATCATCCTCTAATCTTGAATTGAAAGCATGTACAAGTGAAACTTTTTACATAAGTTTGAACTGCACAAACTCCAAATGAAAGCTTGAAACAACATATAAACCCATTGCGTTGCTCACGAGAGGTTTAACAAATAGTGCAGTCAAACTACATAGAGTCTCTAGATTGCATGCATTGTACAACATCATAAAAACAATTAAACTCTGTATGCCCAGAACTAGAAGTGATCTGGGTGTGTATCTTTTCATACAGCGGTTAAAAAACTAGAAATCTTAAAAATCGAAAGGAAATGTCAATAACAGTAAGTGAAAGAGACATTTCATCAAACAGATTCAACGCAATCATATACACTAGTCAAGTGCATAAAATTAAACCGCCAGATGAAAAGCAGAAGATGGTGGAAACGAGTTTGCAAGTGAGCACCCACCGGGCTTAATAGAGACAAACCCAGAACCATTCTGGTCAGACGAACAAGAGGAACAATGGTAACGACTACAACTGTTTGATAAAAGTCTTGTTGTGAACAAAGCAAGGGACTCTTGCACATGCGACTTCATAGAGATGAGATTGGTAATTGCTGCTAATCGTCGGATGTAATGTGCCATGGCAACGGTCAGTCCAAGGCTACCACAGGAGATCAAAAGGGTCTAATCTATAATCCTCTAGTATGATTTGTACGTTCTGAACCTAGAAATTAGACCAATTATACCTAGAATCCTGGGAGGGGCTTGCTATCCTAACCTTTTTTTTTTTNCTAGAAATTAGACCAATTATACCTAGAATCCTGGGAGGGGCTTGCTATCCTAACCTTTTTTTTTTTCCCTCTTCGCCAATGCCAAAAAGGGTGACGAATTCATTTTTGTTCAATCACAACTAAAGTCAATTTTCTTAAATTTATTGTTTGGCGGCCGGCCATTAAGCGATTGATTATAGATTTAAATTTTATTTCAAGAAAATTTATTGAAGAGCTCAAATTTAATCGGATCAGATTCAATAAATCAAGTGAATCTAAATCAACTAAAAGGTAAATCAAACTTAGTAAATCAAATTGACCCAATCTAAGGTCCAAAGGTCCAAAGAATCCAAAAAGATTAAAATAAGCATGAGAATTAAAATTTATATACCCGATTTTGAGTTTGAGTTATGCAATCCAAGTCAAAAGATTTAAACTCGATAATACTAGAGCTGAAGAGGTGGTGTTAAATTTTGGGTTCAAGTTGAACTTCAGTTTAGAGATATTTAACTTTTGAGCCCAAATCCAACTTTTCATTGTACTTACCCGTTGGATTTACTACTTTGCTGCAATTGTGATGTCTGTAGTTTCAATCCTAATCTCGTAGAAGGTATTTTTTGGGTATGCCTTTTTGATTCGTATGATTGTGTTGCCTTCTTCATTAGTATTTTTCATATCGGGATTGAGAATCAAGACGAAGTAGAGTACTATACTTGAACTTACCTTTCGCTAGTCTTATTGATTTTTCTGACTTTGTGGTAAACAGTCATTTATGAAAGTTTTTTAGGGATTGATATCGAAACAGACTTTCTGAATCATTTTTATCCTTAGCGATTTGTGAATCTTATGTGATTATTATACACAATATCAATGCATTATGTGCGAGCTATTGAAAGAGCTAGGCCTAGCTGATTATACCGGCCTTTGCCTCTAAAAAAAAGACTTCCACATATGTAGCCCAATAAAAAGAATTCTTTCTATTGAACTTAATAGGAGTCATTGGAGCATTAAGATCGAAACTGAAGTAACGAGTTCATGCCTATACTAGAATCAGTAGTTGGTAAAGTGGATAAGAATTCATACACTTTGACATTTAAGCAAATGCAACTCTAGCCTACTTTACAACCCTTCCCCCAACCTCCACATAGCTTGGATTTAGAGATGAGAAAGTCATTTCAGGTATCGATCTAATTTTATGTCTGTTCGTTATGTTTGAAGGTAAACAATTATCTTAACAGCGTATTCTTATGACTTATTAGTTGCAACATGAGTTTTNCATAGCTTGGATTTAGAGATGAGAAAGTCATTTCAGGTATCGATCTAATTTTATGTCTGTTCGTTATGTTTGAAGCTAAACAATTATCTTAACAGCGTATTCTTATGACTTATTAGTTGCAACATGAGTTTTGGATGAATTCAATCATCCACCAATCTCACCTGTTGGTTAAAATAAAGAAACCTCAAAATTAGAACGTGCGTGTGATGCCTCCTATTTAACCTCCTATTTAACTATTGGACTACCTAGTACAAACCTAAGATGGAATTACAAGAAAAACACTTTAGAGTTCAACATATAAGGCCTATGGTTTACCATCTTACTCCATGCTTAATTATTGAATATATAATCACATGTTAGTCATTTAATTGGTCCATCCAAGGCTGGCAGACACTATAAGCAAGTGAAATACTTGCTTAGGACCCCCAAATTATATTTTTGGTCTTCATAATGTGGGTTCGGGCTTAATAATATTATGGAATAAGTGCCCAAAAGATACAAAATTTTACGTTCTCTTTTCATTTGTTGTCAATCTAACCATTTTCCAATATAAAAATACATTTACATAAACAAATCTTGCCTACATCTCTCTCACACACATTCTCTTAGTCTCTCTCATTCAAATGATTTTAAGTTCACAACACATTGAAAAATAACATAGTCATAAAGTAGCATAAATCCTCTTTCTTTATTGAAAAATTTACATAAATATAAAATAGTATATATAGTTATAATAAGTTTAATAAATTTGTCAATGTCGCGCTTAAAATTTTCACTTAGTACCTAAAATTCTATTTGATGATTCACGAAATGATTTTGCACACCACCTGTCAAGTATGAGTAATAAATGCAGTAATTAAAGTAGAAAGAGAATGCGAGATTTATAGTAGTTCGGTCGATGTGACCTCTGTCCACTTCTAAATGGCTAGGGTCGCCGGATACTTTATTAATTCAGGAATGCTGAGAGAGCAGAGAGTACAAGCTTTGATAGAGAGAGGAGAGAGTCGTGCTTTGGTGAGAGTGTGATTCTCCTCAAGTGTTGGCAGTGCTTACAATTTATAGTCATCCCCTAATAGATCGGAGCGACTTAATAGCAACTAAATAACAATTCTGGCGGAGCTTACGACTTCTCCTCAACGGGCGAGGTGGTTGAGGTGCTATCCACAAGACCTGGTCAGAAGTGAGGAGAGGGTTAACTATTTCCAAGATGGTGAGGGTGTGACTCCTGGATGCTCTTTTGATGACGTGGCCAAGCTGACGTAACTTCCTGATGAGCTTGACTGGTTTTGGACCATATTGGGTTTGGTGGGTCCATATAAGACTAGGCTCTTAATTAAGATTGAACTTTCCACATGAATTGGGTCATTTGGGCTTGACCCATCATTTACCCTCCCAATGCCCCGTGTCTGATGAAACTTGGAGAAGGGGGCATTAGTTTGAATCTTGAGCTTTGAGTGATGGAGACTCCCTCTGCTAGATGACTCTTCCCTTTCATAATATATTTTCGCCTAGGCGAACACCTCAAATCTTTTCCATTTTTACTTGGTTTTTCAAGAGAGCTCTTGATTTTCAATTGGGGCTTTTTTCTCTTTTAAAATCCTAGGCTATAAATAGAAGCTTCCTTCTCATTCTACCCATCTCTTTCATCTTGAGATTGAAAACCCATTCTTGTGAACCTTGAGAACCCAAGCTTTTCCCATTCCATAGAGACTTGAGAGAAGAGAGGCAAAGCCTGAAGCCTTTCAAGAGTGTATTGGTGAGATTCTTGAGTGGAGTATCTAAGTGGGCAATGTAAGTTGAGGGAGGTGAAGTGCAAAAATCCATTGGTACCATGGCGAATGGAGAGGTTGGAGCTGAAACAGGTGGCTATATGGTCTTCGGAATGATGGAGATCGAAGGATGTGGAGTGGAGGGAACCCCGCTGGCCGCCGCTGCCATTGGTGCACGCAAACAGTTCACGAAGGAGATGGTGAGCGCCACAGGCGCTGGTCTGGGCAACTTTGGCGAGCTGTCCCGCTCAAATAAGCATGCAGAGGACTGCCTGGGTGCCGAAAGTACTGATCTGGACCACCTGGGAGCCGAAGGTGTTGTCCTGGACAGCTTGTGTAAGCAGGAACTAGAGAGGACTGGGCGGCTTGGCCTAGGGGATGTGTAGACTGGTTTGGGCACTAATTTGAGCGCTGGTTACGCTGATCTGGGCGCCAACTTTAGTGCAGATGTGCGACATGGGATGCCCAAGGTGGTCGTCGGTGCACAGCTAGACATGAGTGATGAGGAAGCGGACCTGGACGCCCCTTTAAGTGTTGATCTGGGCGAGTACAACAGGCCATACACCCCTTTAGGCGCTGTCCCCAGCTGGTTTGTGTGAGTAGAGGGGGCCAAACACCTCTCCAGGTTCTGCGCTACCCCGTTTGGGCGAGCAGAGGGTGCCAGACGCCTCTATAGATGGTGGGTTGAGTAGTGCAAGCTACAAGAAAATTTTGGGCGCCACTTTTGGTGATGATTCGAGGAGTTCAGACGACCAAGGAGCTTTGGGGTGCCCTTTTAGGGAGTTTAGTTCGTGCCCATGCAAGCGGGGCGGCCCAGGCACTTTTTGGCAAGCCTGGTCCTGGAATCAAGGTATAGAGTACGCCAGACACTTCTTGTGGTGATGGTTCAGCTCCTTCGAGTGCACCTTCTTAAACCCACATTCCTCAAGACCTCCTAGATGGTGGCTCAGGCCATTCCTCACGCCCCCATAGTAAGAACACACAAAAGGCAAAGTGGCATTTGATGATGACGGGTCTAAGGTAAGTACCCTTTCTAGTTTGCTCAATTCAGATGATGATATTTTGAGACTTGTTTCTACTTATCATATTCCTCCGACTATGCTGTGCCACAGGGCTGAGACGGGTGAGTCTGCTTGCGATGACTTCTCTGGTGACATTGTCATCTACGAGGAAATGCTTGAGGCTGGGCTTAGGTTTCCTATGTCTTCTCCCATTTGTCACATTCTGCATTACTTTTCATTGACCCCGGGGTGGGTGGCGCCTAATGGTTAGAGAGTCTTGCTGGGCTTTCTTGCATTGTGGAGGAAGGTGCATCATGAAGATGCTTATCCTACAGAGTTCCATGCAGCTTATAATTTGAGCGAGACTCCTGCTCCAAATAGAGGGTGATACTATTTTACCACGAGAAGGGGTAAGATGCTCACAGGATTACGCTCCAACTGCCATAGCTAAAAATCTCATTTCTTATTTGTTAGTGCAAAGTGGGTTGTAGAAGCCGATAGGGCTTTGGTACCAACACAATGGGGTGTTGCTAGGAAACTCGGTACACCCTTACTCATTTTCTCTCTCTCTTTTTTTTTTATGTGTGTACCCATCATCTCTTCGCAGATTCGTCTGTGATCTCCAAAGACCAAGAGTGAAAATTGCAGGCTGTGAGGGCTCATCCTGACAAAGACTTGGGAGTCCTCTAGCCCAAGAGTGCTAGGGTTATTACTCCCTCCCTGAAGTTCGGAAACTCTTCTTTGAAGAGGAAGGGTGAGTTGATTTTTTTTTGTACCT